GCATATATACATTATAGTCTTCATTCTCAAATGGTTTTATATGATGCATTCTATCGTTCAACTCCAACTTTCATGTTATGCTCTAGAGAAGGATAACATCGATAAAGCTCTCCTTTACACTACACTTCGAATTCCACTTTAAGAAATGGTGATATGAAACATCTACAGCAGAACTCTACCAAATGACAGTCGATAGGACAAAGTTGATGTCGTCACGAAAGTGTTCCTGAGGGTCTCCTTCCAGTGTTATTTGCTTTGAAGCTTTTGTTCATATTTCAAAGCCTAATTTTCTAGGAAGACTTTTATCATGTTGTTTTATAAAACCCACATATCGGTGCTAGTTTTCATGAATGTTATACGAAAGCCGTAATCAGGCGTGTTGAAATGTTGATGCTGCAAGTGTGAAATTGAATAAGCTGCAAAATTTGATATGACATTCGTGAGAATTATTAGAAAAACCTTTAGGCCAGTCAGTTATTTAGTGTTTGCCATAGTCTCGTGATTTTCAGTTGCAATTTTTCGAAGTCTATCTATGTTGTAGTAACTAAGAGATTTTCCTTTTGTTTTCCTCACGTTCATTGTTAAACAATACGGGGTATAATTTGCATATATGGAGTTAATTACAAACCCAGTTACTCGTTACTTATGACTGATAACTTGTTTCATTGTTCTGAACTTTGCTTGGACAAACGAGTTAAATGAAGTGTTGCTGGTACCTTATATAGAATAAATGTATACAGAGGTTTTGTGTAAGCATTGCTCATTTTATGCGTACTGCCACTAGTTTTGTGGCTATATATTCATCATCTTATTTGCAGTTCAGTTTTGTTTTCTCTACGTGTTCGCCGTTATAATGTTTGACGTCTTGTTCTATGCGCTCTGCGGTTTACCTGGAGATCGAACTTGTTATAAAATATCTCCAATCTGTTATTTTTTGCATTGTGTTTATCTGACAAAAATGACGTGAATAAATTATTATTAGTAGATTTAGATGGGCTAAACCTTCAAGGAAATGATTTTATTGATCCAGTTTGTTTCTGTAGATGTATTTATGAAGCAGAGGTAGTGCGCAACTCACCGCCGGAAGTTCAATGTAATTGCGTGGAATCTGCAGACTTGTTCTAATAGAAAGGTGTTTGTCAATGCCATGCACTGACCACTTTGGCTATCCAGGCAGGCTTTCGTGAAGATGCTTCACATAAAGCCTGTCTAATGCTTAGCTCATCCACTGTTGTTGCTTGTGCCCAAGCTTGGCTGACAGTGATCAACACCTTAATGCACACACGGGTGTTTAAAATGCCTGTCAAAACAATATCAAATAAATGACGAAACATGAATCGTTTTTTATTAACTTTAGCTCAATCGTTGAATGAATAGAAGCCTGATAGTCTGCAATAACCACCGGCGTCAGTGACGCAGGTAAAAGTTATTACCTAACAAAGCAGCCGGAAGTCACCTATTCGAAACCGTACAAAGAAATTAATAGTTCTGAGGGACTTCTCTTGAGATAGTACAAACGGCTTCCAAATGCATGCATATGGAACAATTACGGGCTTCTGTGAAACCACTACACCACGTTGATGTGCGAAGATAAACTAAACAATCAAGAATCTCTAACTCAGAAGTTTATTTCAAACCCTAAGCTTTTGTACAAACAACTTAACTCAGCTCCAACAGTTAAACATGGAATATCAGTGCTCAGTTCTTCTGGAAGTGCCACAACCAATACATTGGAGGTCGCTGAAATGCTGGAGAACCAGTATGTTTACGTTTTGCTGCGTCAACTAATAAAGGACTGTACCTCCCCCGCTGGATGCATCTTACTCCACATCCTTTACTAACCACCGTATCATTCTCTACCGGAAAGGTTAGAGCAAATGTATTGACTTCGAACAAGAATTCATCACGAAGTTCACACAGTATTCACCACCAAACCCTTATCTGCGTGGCGAACCAAATACCAGAGTTACTAGCCTTCCTATTCCAGAGGACGTTTGATGACACTGCAATCTAACCGTCGTTGAAGCAGGGAATAATTCCACCCATTTACAAAGGCGGTTTGCGAAGTGACCCCACTAACTGCCGCCCTGTAACCCACCTTCTAGTGTTGCCCAAAGTCATGAAGTCCATAGTAGCAGATTCCCTGATGGAACACCCAGAGAAGCACAATGTGTTGTCACCAAATGAATATGGATTTGCACAGAAATGATCCTGTGCTACCGATTTGCTGATCGCACCAGAAGAATGTACAAAAGCAGTTGATGAGGGTGACGCGGTAGACGTTGTCTATCTAGACTTCTCAAAAACGTTTGATCGGGTGAACCACAACATTCTACTGCGGAAACTCCGTAATCACGGTATTCCGGGCCTCATGCTTGATTAGATCGAAGCATTTCTCCGACATCTGACCGTACCAATTCGTATTTCTGATTCGCTTCCAGTCCTATGGACGTTACTTCGGGGGTTCCATAAGGATCTGTGCCTGGTCCATGACTTTTCCTAACAATCACAATAGACCTACCGAAGGCTGTGAGGACAGAAATCACTACTGTTTACAGATGACGCCAAAGTTTGGAATACAGTAACGCAACCAGTGGGCTTGATGGCACTACAGGAAACGCTGAACGCGTTCATGTGTGGTCTCTTCTGAACAATATTGAACTCAATGTGCCAAAGTTTAAGGTTATATCGCCACGACACAGGGGGATATTCTTGTATTTCCTCGGAAATAAACGAATGCAACACGCCTTAATTGAGAAGGACCTGGGCATCATCACTTAAAGAAACGTAGGCTGCCTACTCAACTGCGCCAAGGTGTTGAACGCAGCTGAAAAGAATTTTGATTTTCTTAAGCTGTTGTTTGGCTGGTTTGAGTCAGCGCTCTTTCCCCGTCTAATATCAGTATACATTCGCTCACTCATGAAGTACACTATCCAGGCATGGAATCTATGGCTACAATGTGATTACAAAATGCTGGAGAGTCCACAGAGGATGGCCAACATTATGGTTAGGGCGTAGAATCGTTATTGATGCGCATTGCAATTGAAGTCACGGGGGTTATATTCCACTCACTACGGGCCCATCAGAGGAGATATGATTATGATATACCAAATAATGCAAAATTCAAGCCGTCCGTGTCGCCCGCTTCTGAATTTGTCACCCAACGTTCATCTTAGAGGACATCCATTCAAACAAGTGATCTCAAAATTCCGTTTGGAACGCCGGCGTCAGTCATTCGCAGACAGTTTGTTCGATCTGGAACTCTCTCTCACCCTACGCCGTCCGTGCTCCAAGCATTGGATCTTTCAAACGGGGACTCGATGAAACATAAGCACACCTAACATTCCAACATAAATGAAGCTGCATGCAGCAGTGGGAGAAGTACGTATCATGTGACATTTTACACAAGGAATTATATGCATCGCTGTCTTTTAAACACAGCACAAACCTATGGGACAAGGAAAGCATGAACTTGTAAGTTATTCCCATAATTCATCTGTGAAGATCTGAAAAACTGAGCTAATGCGATCCATACTGTCAGCTGCTAACCTTCGATCTCCTTATGATCTTCGCTAACATAAAGAAAACTAAGAAAATATCAACTGCCATATGCACTTTTCTTCTGCGAGAAAACTTCTGCTAACGGACCATCTGGGTCGGACAAATCGTGCTCTTTTTCCAAACGATTTCATTTTCACCGAAACCATTCCAAATTTTTCAAAATATTCAGTACCCTTTTATGATGTTTTTCATTGAGTTAAGGTCATTTTGTGGATTCACCTTAAGTGCATTGTTAGTTTTTATGTTAATTCGGGTTGCGAAAGACAGAAAATCCTTTATGACAACCACTTTACCCAGTTGCAGTCACATCCGACTACTTTTTATGACTCTTTCTACGTGACTTATGTAGACCGGTATTTATTTCATGCTGTACATGCATGAACTTATACAAAAAATCCGGCACACGTTCAGTTTTTGTTTTAATTAGAGAAGAGTGGTTGAGAATTTGAAATGATATCGGAGAGGATCTCGTCAGAAGCAGAGTAGAGCATATGTGGTTATCACCCTTGTTGGATTTAATGACCAATGACGGTAATCTACTTTCTAAAATATGATCCTGGATTATGCAGATGGAATACAAGCATTCCACCATGTCAAACACTGTGTCGCAGCTATTCCAAACCTCCAAGATTTCAAGTTTTACTTTAGTTTTACCCGTTTACAAATCAGCCTAAGTGGATGTTCTTAAAATGCTGTTGTACTACATAAATCCAGTGAAAAAATCGGATATAATATAAAAAATGTGTATCACATGGCACACAGAAAATTTTATCATGTGTCTTTTCGGAGTTTTGGTATTCGCGTCTATTCCAAAAGCACCATCATTGTTTTCTAAAAAAGGGCATAACACGGTTCAACCTTCTAGAGCCATTACGACGTTTGATATGAATTTCCACTGTTGTTGCTAATTCGGACTCAAACTAGAGTTGTGCCTTTCATTCTTAAAGCTTAAATCAAATTATTTGCGGTAGGGTCTTTGGTGATAGTGTAACATTTCGCTCCATGAAACATCCCTTCGAAGATCAAAGTTTACACTGCAAACATTTTCTTAGTGTAAAACAATTGTCATGCATGCCATAGTGTAAACATATTTTAGGGAAATTTCTTTGAAATGAATAGTTGTGTGAACAATTTTTAAATGAATTTCGTTAAATACTCCTTGGTCCTTTGGTCCCTGCAGCAGAGAAAAAAATGTTGTATGTATGTATTGTATTCTAGATAATTGTCGGTCGGTGTGAGTTCGTTTAATTTAACTCTTAAGAATTTTCGTGCCAGACAGATAGAAGCATTTCTTGATCGTTTGTTGTAAGTTTTGAATCGAATACAGCCGTGTTCAGGATACTTTTTCTCCATCTGCTCTTCAGTTAATCCCCCAAAACTGATCTCTTCTCACTTCACTCAATACAATTCTAAATTTTGTGCGTATGCATCGTTCACAGATGTGTGGATTATGTGGATTTATTCACGACGATCGAGACCTCGGTATTCGAAGATCCACCACGATCAAATGGCCAGTCTCCAAGCATGCGACAACCAGCCGACTATCGACTTTGTGGCCCGCTAGATAATCTTCCTCAAAAAGAATTTTACTCTGTCAGTTCCGTACTCATCCTGCTTTTGCATAGTACATCCAGCCTGGATTCGGATCTGCAATTGCGGCACGGTGGATTTGTCGGCCAGTTCTCGTTCGAAGCAAAAGGTTTGTCTCTCAATTTTACAGTCTACTGTTTTTGCGCAAAAATTGCATTTCCTCTAGTTTATTTGTCTGTTACTCACGCCAGGCAACCTCGCTTAGAGCTTTCCAACACAAAAACAGGGAATAAATGTGCAGGTTCGACAGTAAGTTTTACTGCGAGTATTTACTATCTAAACACAACATGTAGGAGGGAAATGAGTGAGAAATTTCCAGATTATAATTATAATTCTGGATTGGAGTGAGTTTCTGTCCGAGCATCTATTTTAATAAATGATATTCATCAACTATCAGAAAACCCAGTTGTCGCACTATTCCCACTTTGGTCTGTGATTATATTTTATATGATGGGTCCCTCATTCCACTTAGTAAAATGTTAAGAGTCCAAGTTGAAACATGGAGGTCATCAAGGTTCTCTACTTAGCAAGTAGCAGTAATTTTCAATGTTGATGCCATTACTTGGCCAACATAGTCCATTATTTGCATAACAATCATCGAAATCCAACAGCTCTTTACCCTCAGCATAATTTGACCAGAATCACCCGCACTTTTTCATTATTAAATGATACTCATTTTGCTTTTGTGAAGCAATAACAATCTCGTTTGGATAAACCGTTAAATGTGTTCGATTTACGCTGCATTTCAGAACATTATATTGACCACACAGGGAGCTGTTTACTTTACTTACCTTCTAATTAATAGCTTGTTTTCCTTTAATTGCTGGCATATTTTCACTATTGTTAGCATCGTCCATAGGCATGTTCTATCTCATACAGGACAAAAACAAACAGAAGTTTGGACATAGATGAGTGTTCGAATCCGATGGAAATGTTTGTGATAACCAACAAAGAGCACTGGGCAGGTGTTTCGTCCTGTTTGGGACGTGTCAGCAGTACGCATCATTTGCGGCCCTGTCAGGACTCGAACTGCGATTCCTCGGGCCGGACCTTCAAACCCGTACCTTTGAGCTACACGGTCAACAGTTACCACCTTGTGCAAATGGCTCAATCAAAAATTTTGCACTGCTGACGAGTCCCAAATAGGATGAAAAATCTGTCTGGTGCTCTTTTATGGTTATCACAAACATTTCCATCGCATTTAAATGTACTTCCTCGTTGGGAATCAACGATCTCCCAAAGAGTGAAACCGACACCCAAGACCATCAAGAGTTCTTGTTCCTCTAAAAATCTAATGGGTTAATCCGAGCTTAATAAACTACATAGATGAATGTTATGTTTGTTATTTTCCGTTTCTGCTTTGATCCCATTATGTCAAATTGACTTATTCCGCTTATGTTATCCCGTATTGTTGTTCACCATTTACCGCTCATTTTAGCACAGCAAATGTCAATAAAGTTTGAATTATTTGTTCGTTATCGTATCTTCTCTGCCACAGAAATCATTCTAGATAGAATAATATTGTTCGGGGATGTGTATGCTATTGTTAGTGATCAAGCAGCCAAGTAGTGATGACAGAATCTATCTAGTCTGTGTATGATGGAAAGTGACAGAAAGTGAGAACTGAAGAGAGCACAGTTTTCAACTGACCAAGTTTTATTGCCATTTTACGACCTAAATCGTGTTGGCCGCTAGGATGATTTTCTCGTTGGCTACTAATGCTACTACTACAACTACTGCTGCTGATGCCGTTGATTCTGTTTTTGAGCCGTATCAAAACAACGGCACCGATGTCTCATTTGATGTCGCGGTAAACTTCAATCTCACTTCACTCAATCATCTCGGAATCTGTTTTTCTTCCTCCTCCCCATTCCACTCCACCATCACCACCTCCCCCAAACCCAATCCTTCCCCATCTCTACCCCTCAATCTTTTTTGGTTCATATTTCTTTTTGGCCTCCAATGCATTTCTTATATCCAACTCATTCGGGTCAGATCAATATCAATCAGACGGAAGGCTCAGTCCGGGCACGCTCTGTACATATCAATTTGATCACCGTACCGGTTCCACGTCCGGACAATTTTTCTCCCCTCGCTATCCAAGCAACTATCCAGCTGGAATTCGCTGTTACTACCGATTTCAAGCGGCAGACCAAGATCGCGTTGTTCTCACGTTTCGAACAATCGAGTTAAGTCCCACGTCGACTGGCAACTCACGAGACAGAATTGAAAGGTGAAATAATGTATTATAAACAACTCCTTTTTTATAACTGCTATTTAGTATTCGTATGCAGTATCCGAAAAATAAAAATTTAGAGATTACATGCAGCTGCGATTATTCACTTTTAATCCGGTTTTAATATAGATAACGTATAAAAAGGGAATAAGTGTGCCAATTACAGAAAAACATATACAGTTTGTTACCAAAGTTATTGGCAATATTACTTGTATGAACTTTCTCTAATATGCTAAATGTTTCACTCCCCGGTATTCAATAAATTACGGTTCTTGGCACGGATTTTCAACTCACCTTATTTCTCAGTGAATCTCAATAAGTCTCGCGTTAGTGTATATCGACCCGACTGTACCGCTACAATTACTCACTCGAACAAATGTAGAAATAATGCACGATTGTTACGCATACGCGCAAAAAAAATAAACATACAACGATCACAACGATCCCACAATCCAAGCATCGCCTCTTTGCTGCGGGTAATAGTTTTGGTCCTGGGGTTTTAAACAAATTCGCTCTGAACATGCTCTGTATCTAACAGGAAATGCTTAGATTTCTATCGAGGCGCCATCGGTATGGTTGAGGCTATATTGCGTCCTATGACTGTGGGTTAAACTATATTTCATTATGAATACCGCTACACCATGCACGTTGAACAAGACTGTATTGGAAGGACATGGGGACATGCACAATTACTTGTTTGTCAAATTCCATCCCGTGTGCGTGTTATGCATGTTTGCTGTCCTCATTTTGTGGCTTGGCTAGTTCCTCAGTGTGACATTATGTATGATATAACATATTCATCCTTTAAAGTCATCTGCCTTTACTCTAACTTTTGTGGACAGGTGTTATGATCCCAGTTCTACCCGACACAAAAACGATATGCTGCTGGTGTATGAAACAGCTGAAAGCATCACACAACCTTTGGCTCGAATATGTGGCCGTGTGAAACACGTACAGATTGTTTCACATGGCCCACAGTTGCGTGTGGATTTCGTCAGTCAAGAGGACACGTTCCAAGGGAAAGGATTTCACGCCACCTATCAGTTTGTTCACCGCACTCAAGTTCAACCATCTCCGTATATGAACAGCTCGATGGGGATGGCCAAACCCCGAGAACAAACTGGGATGACTTTGGTGGCTGATGCAGGATTTCGTCCACCAATGCAAAAATCTTTGCAACAAGGTAATGTATTCAACGGGTATACAGTAAACGCAAAAGGGAGACTCAGACTTCGTGAGGATTGTGAAATTCACATTTTATTCGTATTGTGTAGAGGAGTTTGTCGATTTATTCAGGTTCAATATTGGAACGTTGATAGTATTACCAATAAGAATAGCAATAGAAGTCACGTTTTATTTTGATATGTGTGTGTTCGCAATGCTATTTGTGTAGTTAGTTTACGTTTCACAGTCTTTTGTCCTTCACTTACGTATTTGCTTAGATTGGAGTGCACTGAAGGAGAATACACGTCCAAGTAATAATTAAATAAATTGACTCATTTTTTTGTGAAAGTATCAGTACAATTGAATGTGGCAACACAAGAGCCAATCAGACAATAGGGACGAGTGAATTGAGAGAAGCCTGCTGGTAGAAACTTTCCTTATGTAAACNATGTAAACACATTTTAACGATCTCCACTCTGCACACTTGTTTTATCTCAATCACAATGCTAAATTTCCGGTTCCTGTACAACGAACCACGCAACAGACGACTGGATGAAGATGCTTAAGAGTTTGCAGAGATAGTCTTCAAGTGCGTCTAGTGGAAGGGATTCACACTTTTCCTCTCTTTGCTTAGACCAGAAAATGGTAGGCTCAAATCTCTAGAAACCGGTTGTGTATTTTGGCTTATTCTGTGAAAGCAACTTTTTGTAGAGGACAAGATTTGTTGTTCTCACCCCGGCGTATTTTGGAACAAACAAATTTAAGAGTAGCCTTGATCAAGAGGTATAATATGCAGAGGTACTTTTTTGTGCTGCCAAATTGTGTTTTACCCTGAACAGACAGTAAAACATGCAATCTGCCCGTATTCCGGTAACAGTAGATGGTAATAATGTTTTATTCAAGATCATTGTCGTTGCAGGTTTTCTTTTGGTTACTGAACCAAGTTTTCAGTTCAGTATAATGATAAGTTGAATTAAGTTAAAGCTATCGCCATGGTGAAACGCATCATCATCATCATTCAACTAAATAGCTCGAATGCTATGATAAACTGTGAACTCGAGCCAGTTTATCGTTTCCCGCTAACAAATCGCAATCATGTACGAAACTATACCGATTGATTTCAATTTCATAAATGTGAAGAATTATCTAGCTCAAATCAATGAAGTTCGAAACGCTACATGAGGCAAACGACATGCATTCTTTTTCATCTGTCTGCGGTCATACCGACGGAATCCGTGCACTTCCAACTGTCATAGAATGAATGAAATGGCTGTTGTGCGCTAGCGCGAATCCAACCGATTCGCGGAGGTTTCCTCCCATTTCATTCATGAGTGGGATGTGTTGGTACTATCGGATCCGCATTGAGGTCAATATACTGAATTCAATGTCATTGTTGTGCGCTGATTGTTCGCAAATAGAGAATAATCTGTTGACAAATTATTGAAAATCTGTTATCGTAGCTCGGGTTAACTGAATTCCATTTCATCTGTTCGCCGAGCTTGGCAATTCGTTTGCAAACTTTTCATCACCAGCCGAAGTGAAAGAATAATCTGTTCCCTTTTTCTCACCAAGCTATTGTAATGCGCGAGGCACAGAACGTTCTAATAATGTCGCTTCTTAAATGCCAGTTACTTCTCTCACCAAGCTGTGCTCTTCAACCATAATCGTTTACCGGAAAGTAGGAGTTTCCATACGGCCTGAAATAACAGTTCGTTGCGTAATCATAACCTTTTCAGCCTATGTCAAGAGATACGATTCGTAGTAACTCTAACAGTCATTATTGGTCATCACTGAACGAATTATTGTACTATTCTGTTTATCTTCGTCTTAGATTGTTAAAGTACATTTCATATTAGTATCAGTTCATTATAAAAAAGAATTGGTGTTATCAGAAATATTTTATAACGTCGATTAGAATGTCAGAAAGTAATGCAACTAAATTATCATTCACAGACTAATGAATATTAGGTTTGTCATTGACCAGTGGGGTCCCGAGTTCCATTTGTAGCGTGATCAATAGACTATCAGTGGTGTTGCGACCCATCAAAAATACAACAGTTTTACAGCTTTCACCGGCGTTTTAGGTCTGCATGCACGAGTCTGACTAGGAAAGAGACCATTCCCTTGTTGCTGACTTCCGTTTCCATGCATCTTTTATTTTCTGTTTATTGTTATGCCTCATTACAAAATATGAGAAGTAGTTATTTCTAAAATAGTTATTATTCTTCTCCTCAAAAAATGTAACTAATCGATAATGACTGAAAGCTTTTATCGACTTTTGTACAATGAGAAGCGATTATACGAGGCCCACTGGATAAAACAAACAAGTTCAGAATTTGAATGGTTATCAGGCGGCTCCAGCACGCGTCATGCATATATAGCTAGGCTACCGCTGCAGCGTACACCGCATCTTAAGTTTGCTGTTAGCCTTCTTGTGAGTTGAGACACACGTCATATGTTAACTCTGCTTTTCGGGATGTGGAAAGCAGATAGACGCGGCAGTGAAACGTTTTGGTAACGGTGTGGTATCATAAAGGAAACGAAATTGCTTTAACTCACCCTTGTTTTACTTCGATATTCTAACTGGAAATTAAAATAAAACTGTTTCAATCTTTTCCAAGGAACCGTAGAATTAAGCGCATTGCTTGTATTTATTACCACCAACCTCTCTTTGTTGTACTATATTCATCATGCTTCGATGTGATAAAATAATCAGTTTGAAACTAACGAGTGTACAACGCTAGTTCACATCGCTTCACTTCATATTAGACAAACTAGTCTAATGACATAATCTTGAGGATCGGTGTGTTATTTAAAGTTTGGCGATTCCTGTTTTAGTATCACCGTGTTTGTTTGCACATACGATATCATTTGTACAGGAACAAATCACGTGACCAAAAGTTGATCCGTGTGTTTTGAAACCAGGATGATTGATTGCATCTACACAATTGAAGGATCTTATCGGTTATGTAATGTTTCAACCACACAAGATGATTAAATGCTGCCGCCCTTCAGTGTACAGACTACCCACCCCATTGTCAACAAATGACCACTTTTAAGGAAGGAGATGACGGTTTCTTGACCTCTGCAACCCCACCCAGTCGTCAAACACCCGGTTTTCATCAGTAGTTCAACCGATGCCATTTACTAGTCCTCCGTTTTGCGGCTTCAGTAAAGCTGTCTATATTTTGCAGGGAAACTAACGACTGTCATTTATGGTATCTGGTCTGTTTTCACTTCCTACAGACCGTGGTAATCGATGCAATCGGGCATCAGTGGGGAAAGCATATAAGCTAACAAGCTTACCCATGGATGTCACGCAAAAATCGATACATTTGTGACAATGCTCCATTTTTTGCTACCTATCATCTACGTCTTTGGTCCGAACCAACTAGTGTTGGCAGTATTCGTAATGGTTGTCTATGGACCCCGTCGAAAATACTTGAAACAAGTGGAGCCTAATTATGGAGAAAGAAAAAAAACTCCTCAAGACTTTTTATGCACGAAATTGTTGAACAAACTCAGCTACAAACACTCATATTCGGAACGACAAAGCAAAGAGTATAGCATAATTGTTGAGAAAAGTAAGAGCAGCGTAGTTGGAGGAAACGTGGAGATGGCGGAGATTGGCTCGGGAAATGAATAGAAAGTAACTTTGTTTCCGTCAAGTACTTGGGCACTGCGGTAGGAACCTGTGGAAAGAAAACCAAGATAGTTACTTTGTACGTAACTCGTCTATTCGTAAGCACTGGGGCAACAATTCACCAAGAGACTGATAGAGTGGTTCGTCCAGAATATAACTTGATTAGGTAGACTGTAAAAGAA